ATTGTCAATTGAAAGATTTATATGAGGAACTTTTAGATATCTAAATCGTTTTAATATTATTTTATTGTCTATTGTTATTTGATTTTTAAAATTGACTCTGGTTTGCACAATGTCAGTGCCTATGTAAGTTAGTTCATAATAATATTAGTAATGTGCTGAATGAATTTTGTAAAGTAAGAAGAAAAGTAAAAATTGTAAAAATCTTTAAATTTATTCGATATTTATAGTATGCGCCTTTCATGAAGAATGTTTAAACTGTAAATTTTAATATATAACGGATCCTGAAATGACGGATAATCCCTTGATTTGAATTAAAAAATTAAATAGAACTGTCATTTTAAGGATTTATACCTATTTGACGGTTGACGTATTTTTCAATCAAAATTACTTTGTTTTTGTCAAGTGTTTATCATTCGTTATACTAACCATTAATTTCATTAATTATTTCTTAAAAATAGTTTTAATCTTTGAAATAGAATTTTAGAATTATTTATTGTATATGTCAAGCAAAGTCAAATTCAAAATTTTAAGTCCTAGAAATGTTTGAAATACAAATGGTACACTGTACAGTAAGTCCGGTGAGTACTACGGTGAGTAGGCAAAAGATGGCACTATTCGCAAATTTAATTCCTTAAGACGTAAATTTCCTTCAAAAACATAAACATGATTTATAAACGATTTTAAATAACAATTAAAAGAAGATCAAAAATTAACTTCTCATAGTAATATGATTAATTGATCATCAATTTTGACAAACTGCTTAAAATAGTAGCGTCATCTAGTGAGAGCCTAACTCTTCATTGTAAAATTTAGAACGCGAACGCGATTGAATCTTTTTATTGCTCCTAGATGACGCTACACGTTTAAGTCTTAAAAATCTATGTGCCTTTGCCATAAAATTGATGTTAGGAAGAAAATATTCTTTACAATTTTTTTTAATGTAATTAAAACTATACGTCATTAATTTGATATTAACAACATATTCTCCTTCTCCATCCAGTGGTTGCCTGGAAGAGATCGCAAATAGCGATAAGGCCGGCAATTTTAAAACTTTTTTTACATTTTATAGTTTTTGTTTCACCTGTCTGACCTTAGATCATAAGACCCATACAAATATGTGCAAACTGTACTATTATTGGTTTTTTTGTACAATAAAGAGTTTTCTATATATGTATCTATATTTTTTACATCTTTCAAACACAGCTGGTTATGTTATGGCGTAATTACAAAACACTGATATAAAATAAATTTTCGAAACGCTGGGGTCACGGGGTCCGAAAAACACTTGAGTGACACTTTTAATGGCCAGAAGATCGGTCTTCTTTTATATAATCGCTAACCACTTGCAACTAGACTAGGGCTGCCACAAGTGCTGAATCAGTGCCCGGGAAATTTGGGAACAAAAAAAGGTAAACTACAGATAGCTAGATAGAATTCAAAGCTCGATGACTATAAAATTTTCACTATTTTTTTTGTCCACCTGTCGCATGTCGCATTACAGCCAAGGCCAATACTGACCGTGTCATCATCATCATCAACAGCCTTTAATAGTCCACTGCTGGACATAGGCCTCTCCTTGAGATAAGATTAAAACGCTCTTTTAATACCCTAAATCAAATAATTTGCCAAAATGTTTCGTTTAAATGCCTTTTATCCGAAAAAAAGTTTTACTCGCATGGTGGTTTCATAAAACCACACCACATTTTTTTAATAATATTGTTTTTTTTTGCACTAGGTACTTATTAGGTAAGGATATTTTAAGTGTAATTTTTGGTAGGTATTGGTGCTAATTCTGTTGTTTGCAAACTCTCTACACTAAACTAAAAATTAGTTTAGTCTTGTAAAGTACTACGTGTTCAGATCACGATCACAATAGTTGTACTTTACTCGATACTAGATGGCGCTGTCCTCCACATTCCATCCAATTCTGGAACAATTGAACTATTTAATTCAATGGCGCAATAGTATTTAGAACAGGGCTACTGAGAATGCGTAGATAGAGTTAGAGGAGGAGGAATTACTACTCTTACACCAAATTGGGACAAATGGCTTATTGACTGGGACACCGGGACATAACTCTTCAAACCGGGACATACCGAGACTAATAATTTAGGACGGGATGGAAAACAAACATTAATTAAGTTGAAAATATTTTTAATTAAACAATATATTTAGATACAAAATTCTTAATTACTATTTACAATGTTTAATACTAAAATTCGTATAAAAATAATATCATAAGAACCACCAATTTGTCTTTAATTATAAGAGAAGTCTTGATATATTAAAGCTTTACTAAATTCTATTAAGTACATATGCATCGATTATTCGTTTGGTTTGAATTGTTATCGATTGAGTTGCTTTTATCGACTAATTATTATTATAAACAATCGGGTTACCCATTAAAGATAAAAGCATAGTAGGAACAAGAGCCCCAATCTTGCAATATAGGTTACGAGAGTGATGCCTAATAGATAGTTCCCTCTATCTCTTTCTGGTCAAGCTCTGTGGTTGACTGGGGAAATTTCTAATCTGCCGTCTGTTCTACGATCAAAACCATGCCCACTTCACGATAGCATAGCGCAGAATAGCTAAACAGAGACAGAGGGAACCATCGGGCATCCATCTCTCTCGTTGCCTGTATCGCTTCCACTTACAGGCAGCTTTACCCTGTGTTCTCTCTATGCTTACATCTCTATGGTTTACCCATTCATATAACGCCAAGAAATATTTAAAATAAGAACTAGCGAGCCATACAGTACTCACATAATATGTTGTGTAACATCTGACGGACAACCCTAGTACCGCGCGCTCATTGGTCAAATCTGACGAAAAACTCCAGCACCGCGAGCTCATTGGTCAAATCAAATATGGCGCGCTTTCCCGGCATTTGTTACTCTTTCCGTCTCTTTTTAAAACATCACTCCAATCCCTAGCACTGATTGCAGGAAGGATGTTACACGTAATTTTGTTTTTCTACAGTTTGAATGGAAAATTCCTTGAAAAATGGAATGTATGGTATTTAAAAAATCAATATACATTTTTTTAAATGTTGATCAACATTAAAAAATATCATTTATTATAAAAAATTGAGCAATAAAAGCACGCTATATTTCGTCTTTTCATAAAGGTATTGTATAGTTTGTAATCGCAGACATACTTAACGTGGTAATTACTGATTTGACTAAAAAGGTAAAATTTATTTCATATAAATAGATAACTGTTACACTAGGAATTCACAATCCTGTGTCGCGGGCGACATGACAAATACACATGAATTTGACACAAAGAACACCCAGACTCAGAACAACCTCCTGTGAGGATTGAACCCACAGAACTCAGCGCAGTAGGCCACAACGCCATCCGTGCAGTTTACGTCAAAACAGCCCATCTAAATCAAAATCTATATTGTCGTTGGCCTAGAATTATAAAATTTTGCCCAAAAACACGGTATTATTGTATCACAAGTACAGGACAAAATCCAGAAGTCGTTTATCTCTTGTTAGATTATGAGTCGGCTTGACCTTGATACTACGGAAACCCGGTGTTAATCAATTCTTTCGGTGCTTTTTATCGAGAGGTCCAACTATCAAAGAATTCAAAGGATTTTAACGTATTTGAGTTGCAGGCGTCCATGGGCGGCGATAGTCACTTACTATCAGATGAAGTCTACTCGTAATATTAATTAATTAACCACAAGTTCTTGCCAGTTACTAACATACATATTCTAATGAAAAATATTTATAAATAACTCTAAGGCAGGGGTCTTTTCTAAAATGAACTGAAACCTCAGACCCCCATAGCCAAATTACCGCACGCTTATCGAAAGCTCAACAGTTTTTAAAAGTGCAACAATGATACTTCCTACTAAAACATTAGTCATTCTTATAACAATTTGCTATACGTAACAATTAATACAGTATCTTAAAGTTTCAAATTAATTCAAATAAGAACTTGTGTTAATTAATAGGGGTTGATTTTTAGACCTAGACGACCACCAAACTCAGCTTTCGTTTATGTCGACCTTTGGGAAACCGATTTTGACCTAGACCACTTTGGGAATCCCTGCTTTATGGTATACTAAAAGATAATTCAGTTTTCATCAAAAAGAATCGAAATTTTAACATTTAGTAACTCTTTAGTCAAATCAGTAAATTTCTTGAATGAATTTTGACCTACCAGACGCCATTGTAATATAATCATATAGTATCTATAAACTAAAGACGTATATTTTATCAAAATTGATCCTTTTGTTTAGTAAAAAATCGGACAAGGCAATACCTACCTACATGTTAAACACATAACCCAACCTTTGGACTTCATTTTAATCGTTTAAAATGAATTTATCTATATATAGTAACAACGGCGTCCATTTTAGCTGTCATCGAAATAAACGTGTCTAATTTTATTTTAGGCAAAAATGAGCAAATATTCTCTTTAACTCTAACGAACTCCTTCAAAATCGGAGCCCCTCGTCTATCAGTCGTATACACAACCTTATAACTAACCGATATTTATCTAAAACCGTTCCCCTGGATAATTGTTAACTAAGTTTTATTGTCGTCTATTACCTCTTACATAAGACAATAATTCTCAGATATATTAGAAACAGCGCAAACTAGAATGGCAACCCTAACGCTGTTAGAAGAACAAAGAAACAAAAAACAACATTCTTTAACATGATTTATCACGTTAAAAAAAGAATCTTTTATATATTTTATTCTTCAGTCACTTTAACCGTCAGATTCTAATGTAAGTAAAGTCAAATCATTTTAAATCAAAATGCTTTATATGTCAACTAACACCTTATAAGAATAATACGTAATAATTTCTAACCCAAAGCCGTATTAAATTTTTAATAACAAGTATATCGACACTGACAATAGATTAGACACTAATATTTTATGACAATTCTAAATTGATTGACACAAAAACTGACGTAAGTGACACATTTAACATTTTAATTAACGCAGGGGAACAGTCGTTTACACTAAACTCATTTAATTCTGCACACACCTGTTATGTTCTGATAATATAAACGTGTTGTCAGACCTAATCAAAGATTCCCTTTCCATGTCATTAAATGTTGACTGTACAAAGTCTGATCTTAAAATATTTCTAAGCTCTAAGCTGCAGTCAGATCTTACACAGTTAAGCTCTTGTATTTTGTCGTTGTTTAATGGTAGATACATTGATTCCCTATTGGGCAGTATTTTATGAGAGCCATGAACAACTAATGTAGATCCTCTTCTTAATGTCTGTCTTCCAAGCTCCAAAATTTCTATGGAGTTTTGTCCAATGACGAGGCTTTTATAGGTTTTTATGAACACTATTGTAAGTGATAAAAAACCGAAGATAATAAGTGAGTAGGTGATGAGTGGGGCCGCTACTGGTCCCACCGTGGTGGCTAGGTAAATCCATCGCCAGATGGGGGTCGATAGCTCGTGAATACCCTGTAAAGAATAAACATTGTGTTATTGTCACATATACTAAAATATCTCAGTTGCTTAGGAAAATTTCAGAAATGAAAATCAAATTCAACGTCTTTTTGTCGTCACATCCACAGCTCAGTGCATTAACAACTTGGACACCCTTATTTGCTCCGCCTAGGAATCAAACCTACGACCCCGGCTCAGCAGTCAGAATATCTAACTATTATATTCAGACACAGAATAAATGCCCATACTCTATTCATGTTTATTAGTCCCGGGTGAGAATCGAACCCACAACCTCCAGCTAAGCAGTCCAGATAACAAATCATTATATCCATCATCATCATCATCATCATCATTAACAGCCTTTCGTAGTCCACTGCCGGCCTCTCAGCCTGCAGGCCTGTCCTCAGAAAGAAGGGTTTGGCCTACTATACCTCGCTGGCCATACGGGTTGGTATAGGGTTTGTTTCAAGTTTTCCTTCTCTTTAAAGTGCTGTTGTTCTTTGTAGTTTGCTTCCTTAGTCGGCTCTTACGACACCCACGGGATGAATAGGGGTGGTGATACTGTATTCTTAACCCGTCACCACACACCACCACATTATATTCAGACACAGAAACATATTCACGCTTTTCTCATAATGCTAGCCAGTCATAATCACAACCCACTAAACCACAAGGCCTCCCACAGCTAGAATTAAAACACCAGACCTCTTCAAAGAGTTTCTGAAACTTACTTCCTCCAGCCACATCACTGGAAAGATGATATTGGGAAAGTTGTTGATGTTGTTGATTGCAATGTTTGGAGCCTGGTCTACCTTCATATTGAGCTGAACACGCACGAATCCTTCAAGAGGTACTCCAATTTTCTGTAAAATAAATTTACATGATGATATACTCAGTCCACAGAAAGGAGGTTTTGGCCTACTATACCACGCTGGCCAGACGGGTTGGTATAGGGTTGTGATGACATGGGGTGCTAGCTAGAAAACCTCCCCGTGGTGCACCCTGGAAACGCTGGCGATGGTACTGTTTCCTCCTTGTCCTCTTGGAGGAGAGGATTATCGCCAGCGGCCAATATTCTAGCAGAAGAGGCAGCCGTTCATCGGCTCTCGGGCAAGGCCTGGTCCAGCAGGGTGGGCGTGTCTGCCGGTTGCCCTGCTGGCTCTTCGCTCTTCGGAGCATGGAGGAGGAAACCTCGGTAAAAAACCTGATGGCGGGGCCCTGTAGGGGCCACAGTTTCTCCGCTGACAGCGGTGGAGAAAGGAGGACGGGCTCGGCGTGTACTCACACTACCACCGAGCAGGCAGGGGGACGTAGTCTCCCTGTCAACCGTCGGCATATCGTAATCCCGAGAAGAGCGCTGTGGTTAAGTCTCGCGGCTCTGATCGGGGGCGAGGGTCTTGGCTTAACCGCCCGGACCGCGAGGAAGATAACCTCTCTAAAAAATTCCCCGAATCCCGTGTTCTGGTGCGTGGCCAGGGGATGCATGGCTGATGGGAAGTTCAGTCGCGAGCGCACTCCAAGCCGAGGTACCTGCGGACCCCTCGGTTGGGTTAAAAACTTACGCTTGCCCGGGTAATGGGGGATCTCTGCCGGGTGGACCTCTAGTTCTCCCCCACTCGTGGGATTTAATATGGATACTGTTCAAAACCTAAAACAACAACAAAAAACGATCGGAAATAACCAACAACAGAAGGCACGCCTAACGGAAACGAAGAAAACGAAGGGAAGGAAGGAGAAGCAAAACAGTGGAGCGGATGGGTCGTCCACTGAGGGTGAGATGGTGTCAGGAACGCCTATCTCGATGGGGCTCCCAGAGGTCAGTCTGACTCTGATCACTGGGAGCCGAAGAGCATCGGATCGGCTGCGTTCCGGATCCGCCGCTTCGTCGGATGGCGCGGAGGCCATGGAGGCGGAACGAAGCGACAGCAGGAAACGCGGACGCTCCAGGGAGGAGGGGACCGACACGTCCGGCGAAATGATGCCACCAAAGGTGGCAAGCAGCCGCCGAGGGAGGGCGCGTAAATCGGCCTCGGCCTCGGTCTCGACCCCGTCAGGCTCCGCGTTCTCAAACGCGGAGTCCTACAGGAGCGTACGAGTGGACGGCGAGGCCGTAGCGGAGGAGGAGATCGCGGATCTCCTGCTCAAGGTTCGGGAGCCGGTGGGGGGAAATGCCCCCCAGGCTCCCGTGTCCGTGCAGGAGAGGGCGAAAGCGGCGGTGGCCGTCATCAACAAGGTGGCCACCAAATCCGTGAACCTTAAGGGCTCGTTTGTGAGGGCCCTTAAGGACTCCTCCTCCGCTTTGTCGGAGGTCGTGGAGGGCCTAGCGGGCGACGTCTCTCGCCTGCAGGTGGCCAACGAGAAGCTGACGGAGCGGGTGAACGAGCTGAGCGCTCAGTTCGCCCGCTTCCAGGCGAACCTCCCCGAGCGGGAGGCCCCGTCCGCGCCCCCCCCTGTCCCTATCGCGACCTCAGGGGTACCTGACGCCCAACTGCGGTCAATTCTCGACGCAGTTGGGCGTATGCTGGACGGCCGTCTGGCCGGCCTGGAGGCGAGACTGCCCCCTGCGCCGGTCGTGCGCCCCCCGCTCGCGTCATCGCAGCGGCCTAAGGCCGCTGCGCCAACCGCGCTCCCCGTGGTGGGAGGCCGCGTCTCCTACGCGGCGGCGGCGTCGGCCCCGACTCCACCGGCTCCCCAGGGGCCGAGGAGAGGGGCCAAGGCACCGGCCCAGGCGCCAGTCAAGGCGCCGGCCAAGGCGCCGGCCAAGGCGCCGGCCCAGATGCCGGCCAAGACGAGGCCTAAAGCGGCGCCGAGGAGCGGAGTGGCTTTCCCTCCGCTCCCCGCTCCGACATCCCTGCCGGGCCCCTCTGCACCTGCCCCCTCCAACGAAGGTTGGCAGCAGGCGAGGGGCTCAAAGAAGTCCCGAAGGCGGGCTAGAAGGGCTGCTCAGAAAGCAGCCCAAGCCCAGCCTTCGCCACCGGTGGCAACGGCCTCAAAAAAGAGGCCGCGGAAGCTGCAGCCGCCCAAAACCGCGGCTGTAGTCGTGACGCTGTCGCCGGAGGCGGCCAGTGGCGGGCTCACGTATGCGGCCCTCTTCAAGGGGGCCCGGCCCGGTCTCGCCACTGAGTTCGGGGAGGCGGGGATGAGGCTGCGCCGCGCCCAGACGGGAGCTCGGGTTTTCGAGTTCCCTGGGGCTGAAGGCGCGGCGACGGCCGACAAATTCGCCGAGAAGTTGCGGGGAATTTTCGCCGCCACGGACGGTGTTAAGATCGCCAGGCCCACCAAATGCGCGGAACTGCGTATCTCGGGCCTGGACGACTCTATAACGTCGGAGGATGTCCGCGATGCAGTCATGGAGAAGACTGGGTGCACCGCGGACACCATCAGAGTCGGCACCGTCCGTCCGGGTCCGGGAGGCCTCGGTGCGGTGTGGGTCAGCTGTCCCGTGGCGTCGGCCAAAGCGTTGGGCGACGCCGGAAGCATGCTCGTCGGCTTCGTTAATGCCAGAATCACGGTTCTGGCCGCGAGGCCGATGAGGTGCTTCAAGTGCCTAGCCGCGGGACACACTCGCACCAGGTGCGAGAGCTGTTTTGACTGCAGCGGTCTATGCTTCCGCTGCGGTCAACCCGGGCACAAGGCGGCAGAGTGCTCTGCCGCCCCTCACTGCCCCGTGTGTGCGGCGGCTAAAAAGCCTGCCAATCACCAGATGGGGCAGGGGGGCTGCAAGCCTCCCCGCGCTTCTCGGCAAACGCCGGGGGCTAGCCTGCCGACCCAGGCTACCTCCGACGTCAATCTTGCGTCGACGCCGACGCCCATGGAGGAGGTTGTAGAGACGATCCAGTAATGGATCAAGTCTCCAACCTCCTGGTCCAGACGAATCTGAACCACTGTGCTGCGGCGCAGGATCTCTTCCTGCAAACCATGGCACAGTGGTCTATAGGTGTTGCCGTAGTCGCGGAGCCCTATTTTGTCCCTCCCCGTCCAAACTGGATGGGTGACCGGGACGGCTCCGTGGCAGTCGTCGGCTCCACGGCGGCTCATTCCCCGCCCTTGTCGCTAAGAGACAAGGGTACTGGATATGTTGCCGCCGATTGGGGGGGAATCACCATTTATGGTGTATATTTCTCCCCCAACCGGAGTTTGAACGACTTCGAGGTCTTCCTTAACAACTTGGAGGCCTCGATGCGGCGACTAGTGTCTGGGCACGTCCTCGTGCTGGGGGACTTCAACGCAAAGTCCATTGCGTGGGGTTCCCCTGCGACGGACGCCAGGGGCGAAGCCGTTGAGGAGTGGGCGGCGTCGGTGGGCCTCTGTTTGCTGAACAGAGGCTCCACCAACACGTGCGTGCGACAGCAGGGGGGGTCGATAGTGGACCTTTCGTTCGCTACCCCTGCAGTCGCCGCACGAGTAAGGAACTGGTGTGTCCTGGAAGAGGTCGAGACGCTCTCGGATCATTTGTACATCCGATTCGAGCTCTCCCGGTCCCAGGACCCCAGTAGGGGTCACGCGGCGCGGCGCCCTTCCCGCTTCCCGCGGTGGGCTGTCGCCAAGCTCGACAGGGACCTACTAGAGGAGGCGGCCATTATTCACTCTTGGCTGTCTCCGCAGGCCCCGACCGAGGAGGTCGACATGGGGGCTGGTCGCTTCTGCCATGCGATTACGCAGATTTGCGATGCGGCCATGCCCCGCGTTCGTGGTTGTCGGCCTCCAAGGAAGGAGGTCTACTGGTGGTCCCAGGAGTTGGCGGACCTCCGTGCGGCCTGTGTACGTGCCCGGAGGTCCCTCACCCGTAGTCGGCGACGTCACCGCGGGGTCGGTGAGGAGGTGGACCGGTTTCATGAGGAGTACCGAGAAGCTCGGAAAACTCTGAGGCTGCCCATCTGCCGCGCCAAGGATGTCAGTTGTAGTGTAGTAATACATATATAATACGTATGTCTATCTTAAGATAAAAGTAGTGATCACTATTGTATTTACTGGAGAATAAATCTGATCGTTGATCTAACAACATCTTTAATTTCTCTCTCGACACCCAACCTTGAGTGAGCGATAATATAAAATAACCTATGAGTTATTTTATATTATCGCGTATTGAGAAGTGTAGGGAACGGTTATTTTGTTGCGAAAAATGGGTAAGCAACAGTCTAAGGAAGAACCAGTAATCATCGCACAAAATGCTAGCGGTGGTAACAACGCTTCATCATTGGAGCAAATGTATCAACATACCAGCGTCATCACCTGTATCCTGGGGGTGATATGTCTTATCCTGATTGCCGCATTAATATACTATGCGATTCGGCTGTATGGTAAATGTCACAGAGAGTGGATACGAAGAGAGATACATGAACATAACCTCCGACGGTCAAGCAGTTGGTTTCGGCGACGACACGAGACCCATGGTTCACCCCGTACCAAGGAGGATCAGCCAGACGCGAGAATAGTATGATACAGTGTCGATAAGCGGAAGTGTCAGTATATTGCTAAAGGAAAAATATATAAAAGTGTCTGTGTAACGGTGCGATTCGGAAAATATATAGTGTACTACGTAACAGTAACGGTATAGTAATCAGTATAATGGACTTATTTAGAGGACTTTAGGTTTTAGTGGTGTATAACATACTATATAATATATATCGCATTTGTCAATATGTATTGATGGCAGAAAAATTAGAAAAGTATTATAGTAGCTTGTTTGAAATACGGACATATCTTGTAAAGATAGGACCACAGCGCCGTCGAGGCCCTATTTGTTCGAAAAAATATAAGGAAGCTAATATCATTTTACAAAGTTTTGAAAGACAGTTATTAGATATACGAAGTAACATAAAGAAATTGAGTCAAACTGAACTTAGTTTAATAAATAAATTCA